TTGACGACAGAGCTCGAGATGCACAGGTGACCGCGCGGAGAGAGGCTCGTCTCGCCGGCGCACAGTGGGCCGAGACCAGTCAAAAGCTGGACAAATATTAAGTACTTTGTGTAAATGAGAAAATATGTTTTTATTTAAGGATTTTTGAAGATAGCTACGTTATGGTGTACGGTATAAGGACGATTTATTTCTCAGCGTTTGCTGAGATTCAACTGCGCAAATTTCGTATAGACCGTCCCAGGCAGGAATATAATATTCTTTCGCACACAAGAGTGATGAGGCTCAGGGTTTATGAGATGCAAGAGCATGGCGGCAAAGGATTGCAAAGAACGAACGTTTGCGTCGGACGTTTTTTCATACGTGGAAAATTTCTCATGTAATAAGTCCTGTTCCTTCTGCAGATTCAGTATTAATAAAACCGTCGTGTAAATATCGCGGAGTACTTGCTGAGATTCAGAAGCGCGAATTAAAACTCCAGGCGGACGTTCGAGACGACCCTTTGATCTACATCTAAGTCCGCTGAGCAAACGCGAGAGGGCGAGATAGAAAGGGGGAGAAAGAAAGGAAAAGAGACGAAGGAATAATTAATATAGAAATTGCCATGGAATATACGTTATGCAGACAAACATGCAATATCGAAGACTCATCGAAAAACCCATCTATTTAATTTGACTGTCAGCAATCTTAAAATCCATTACCGCTTCAACGCTTGTTTGTGGTGAGAAGGAAAATGAAGTGTTTTAATGTCCAAATATTCGCGCGCGCGGGCGCTCCGTGCGCGATCGTGCTTTTGTCAGCGGCATATACATCCTCGTTTCATATAAATATGTTACCGCCTTATAATGAAGCTTTCAAATAAACTCGCCCGCTAACAGATCGAGCATTTTAAAAGTTCCGTGAGATACGTATATACATATATATGTTCTCGTAATAGAAATCGCGCTTGTTTACCGTACGTTGATTATTTATTCGACGAATGAGATTTACTTTTACACCGCCTGCATGTTTTTCGTTCTTGATAAAGCATCTGATGAGATGCGAGATTGTGTTCCGCTCGCGTCCGTGTTTGAATTCATTATTCCATATTTGTTTAAGGAAGGGAATGCGTATTTCCTCGGTGTTTACCTTCGGTGTACGAAACAATCAACCTGCCTATACGACCTATGTCGTTTTTAGTAAAATGTATGACGAGCAAATAGAATGACTACTAATGGGGCATACTTTACGCAAGCGTATTTTCCATCCCTTGCTTGTCTATTTCGCAAATGTATCCATCGACAAATCAATACGGGAATTTATTATTAATAAACCGTCTCGCGTAGATAATTTGCCCCAATCGCGCTATTTATATTCAAATATGCACGAACACATTTCGTGCATATAATAATGAAATTTCTCACCTGCTGTCTGTTTGTTTATTCGTACGAGCATAATATTGGGGAATTAGAAAGAATCGATACGCGCCAATCACTTATCTCTCTGAACATTTTGGCAGCTGCTGTCACGTATACGTGATTTCGCGAACCCATCGGTTACCAACCGCTGTCGTGTGATTTCACTCTGTCGCCTGCTATTGACGTCGTGCGTGCGTAATTTTATTCTATCGCACATAGAAGCGACGTGGCTCCTGGTGATTGAGATACAAGAGCGTGGCAATAAAGGATAACAAAGTACATCTGCGTCGAACGAATTTCCGTACATGGAAAATTTCTCGTTGTTCGATGTCTTCCCGCCCTCTCTCTCTCTCTCTCTCTCTCTCTCTCTCTATCATGCCGGCAAAATAAATTTCCGGGAGAAAGATCCGGGTTACGAGAGGACCCGCGACAGAAATTGTAATAAGTTCGGTTCCTTCTGCAGATTCAATATTAATAAAACCGTCGTGCAAATACCGCGGAATGTCTGCTGAGATTCAGAAGCGCGAATTAAAACTCCGCTGGGCGGACCCTCGAGACGATTTAATCGCGGCAATTCACAGTACAAAATTTGTACAATATACGTATTTAATAAGATAAAATTTATTGTTTAAGTTGAGATTATATGGTAAAATTTAAATTATAAAGATATATTCGGCGCAGTTTTTCATAGAATACCGTGGAAAATTAAGCAAGAAATGCCGATATTAAAGAGTAGGACTCACGCGAGTTATGGCTGGCGGCAAATGACAGTCGACGCAATATACGATGTGCGGCCATCAAAGCATTTTAATAATTCGCGAGCAAATAGGACGTTCGCGAATTGCGCACTGTATTTAATAATGGAGGATCTTTTTTGCCGCAATAATGGAGGTTAATACTGAACCGCTCGCCCATTGCCCATCATATGTCTTTCATCTCTGGCTTTCATGTATTTGTTATTTACTTATTCAGTGTACAAACGAATCGCCCTTTGAGATCCCTCTTGACGCATGATTTTGAGGGGAGCGCGTTATTACTAGCTGCAGATAACCGCCTGAAGGACGATTTAATAGATCTTTCCTTCTTCTCGCTACAACTACTTATCCGACCCTCGTCGCTTTAATGTTAATATAATGTATGATGTTAATATAACTTCTCCGCGTCACGCGCGCTCTCGAAATGGCGTCGTCATGGATTATGGACTCATGCCTTCGGAGACGCAAACTCGTTATTTTCTTCCTATCTAATATCCGCGCTCACTCGTTGATGGGGTTTTCTAAAAGTTCGAAGATATGTCACGAGGGCTTTTTTTCGCGGATCCTCTCGTAACCCGGATCTTTCTCCCGGAAATTTATTTTCCCGGCATGATAGAGAGAGACAGAGAGAGAGAGAGAGAGAGAGAGAGAGAGAGAGAGGGCGGGAAGACATCGGACAACGATCAATACTAACTGACGTTGAACACTCTACTCGAAAAATAATTTTCATCCATGGTTGTTATAATAAAGATTACAGAATAACGCATGTCGCTGGTTCCTTCGACATACTTATAAAAATAATACAATACGTGTTACGCGTGTACGTGTTTCTTTCATTTTTCAGTTCGACAAGGTATGTTTTATATTTTAACAATATTACGCAATAGCGTACGCGATCAATAATAAGAAGTAGGACATATCAGAGGATACGCCCGGACATCCGGACAGTTGTTGGGCGATGATGGGTGTAACGAGCTCGAGGGGTGATACGAGATCGAGGGATACAATACGGCAGCGGCGGGTGCCCAGGTCGTGGGTGGATGGGTGGGTGACAGGGTGGTTGGGTCGAGAGCTTACCCCTGTTCTCCTACCAGCCCTGATACCCCTGAACTCCTCCAGCGCTGTCCTCCCTTCGAATTCCCACTCGGATCGCTTCCCCTGTGCTCCTACTTTACTGCCTCCCCTATTCTCCTACCTCGCTACCTCCCCTATTCTCCTACTTTACTGCCTCCCCTATTCTCCTACTTTACTGCCTCCCCTATTCTCCTACCTCGCTACCTCCCCTATTCTCCTACTTTACTGCCTCCCCTATTCTCCTGCCTTGCTGCCTCCCCTTCGGAACACAGTGGGGGCTATCCCTTCGGCCGAGTTTCCCACGCGCTCGACTACCCCTCGCGACTACCCCTGAAGCGCTGCTACTTGGACCGCCTACACAGTACCTGGTCAGGTAGGGGTACTGTAGGAGCGCCGTATCTTGTATATTGATCGCGTACGCGTTTACATCAATAACTCAACCATGTTCCATTTTTTATAAATTTGCAAAGATAAAGTTTAAATCGTAAATGTCGACGCGTAAATGTTTAACATTGTTAATATTACGTTTGAAAAAAACTCTGAATTTTTTGAACTCGTCGATTTTCTCGGAGTCGCGGATATCTGGGGTGTTCCTCTTGCGTCATCGATGACGGAACATGGGTGCCCCACCCAATTTTAACACGCAGATTTTCCGGAAGCACGTAACTTCCATCACAGTGCGCGACTCAATGTACTACGATATGGTATTTTAACGATGTCCGTTCGTTCCGACAACGTTGTTATTTACGATGTGCGGTTATTTAATTTCGGCCACCTTACTTATATTCACTTGGATCGTGTCGGGTGACCGCGATGTGATCGATCATCTCAACGCGCCTGCGGTGCCGCAGACATATCTCCTCGGCTCTTTCTCTCCTGTCATCGATTATGGGACGTGAGTACTTAGCACAATCTCTAAGCACATTCTACACATTCGCAAATTTTTCTTCGTGTTCCGAAGTGACACGCGACTTGGACTTGGAGTGCGCGGTCCGCGACAGGGCGTGGCACTTGGTGATACTTTAGTGGAATGATGCATCAACGATACCCGCTCGTCTCGTTAACATTATTATTTACAACCGCGACCGTATTATCTCGGCAATTTCGGCTCACTGTAACGACAGTGTCGGTCGATCGTGTCGGTCTCGACACGACGCTGTTCACCGACGCTCACCGCTCATTTCTCACCGTATCATCATCTCCGGTCCTTTCGTCCTTTTGCAGCTTCGCGAAAGTCTTGGTCTTGCAGTTTGTTAATTCGTGTGTGCGTAACAATGAACAGTGAATCTAGGCACTTGACATCCGAACGATGACGCGTTGGAGTGCATCGCTGCTTTTACGGCGCAATATAATAGACCGCGCACGGGAGGGAGTACGAACGGCAGGAATGTAGGCGAGGAAGGGATTACTTGTTGCTTTTATGCGCCCGAGAAGTTATTGTGACTCGGGCAGCCGACGGCGACGGTGATACCGACGATGACGAGCGACGGGACTTTATAACGAATTAATTCTCATCCACCTAAGCTCTCTGCCGTCGATTAGCGATACCGCGTAAGGCGCGTTGAAATTCCCGATAACTCAGCGTAGGAAACATCCATGGTCGTTGCTTTCTCCTTGCGTAAGACAACCGCCCGCGCGAAAAAAAGATGACGAATCGTGCGAGTGCGTGCGAGGCCGATTTCAGCGTGGGAAAAAAATACAACGAGCCCTCGATTTGGCATTGCGACATGCGACTTGATATTATGCCTGAAAACACGGTTTGCTCCGTGTGTTGCAGGACGCGGTGCACCGCGCGTTACCGCGGCTCTCGCCAGCGATGGAGAAGGCAGGCTGATCGTCACCCCGGTCCACAAGGAGAGCATCACCGCACGGAGTAAGGAGGACCTCGCGCAAGAAGCGGCCCTGGTCCTACAGCAAGCAGGCAGCCTTCAGTGCGTGGCGCACAGCGACAATCGACGGCTGCCCGGCCGCTTCAGCACTTTGCCGGCGCGACGTAAGAAAAAACGGCCGGAACTGCCGCTCGATGTAAGGCGCCGCGGAAGCGAGGAGATCGGCGCGACGACGGCGACGGCGACGGCGACGGCGACGACGACGACGACGACGACGAGCGCGGAGCTGAGCGGCAACGGCAGTCCGCGCACGAAGAAGAAGCCGCTGGAGAGGAGCGTCAGCGATGCCGGCGCTAAGAAGCTGAAGGGCTCGCTCGCGCGCTTTTTCTCGCCGAAGTTGGAGCGGCGCCGTCGGCCGGTAGGCCGTAGCGCGAGCGACGCCGGCACGTGGACGCGCGTGCAGCGCAAACGAAGCGGCAGCGAGAGCGACGGTTCCCACCTGAGCGCGAGCCGCGCGAGGAAGCAATTGTCGCCGATAATCGAGGCGTCCCCGTCGCACGTCGACCAGCAGCCGTTCCACTTTGGCGTCGGCGGCTCGAGCGCGGATCGCGCCTACAACGAGAACAACAACAACAACAACAACAACAACAACAACAACAACAGCAACAGCAACAATCGACCGGAGCCGAAGAAGCCGAAGCAAGAAGCCGAGGCGGATGAGCTCGCGAGCGCGATCGATGCCGAGGACGAGCAGCTGATAGCGGTCGTCGTCGAGGAGTCACGGAGCCCGGAGGCGCGGACCGCCGACGAGAGGCCTACCGGCGGCGTACCGTCGCCCGGCGGCGCGGCCAAGGTGATCGAGCATCGCATACGCGTGGAAGGCAGAGACGACGAAGACGATCGCCATCACGAGCAGCGGGACGAGGGGGAGGAGAAAGAAGAGAAGAAGAAGAAGAAGAAGAAAAAGAAGGAGGAGGAGGAGGAGGAGGAGGAGGAGGAGGAGGAAGAGGAGGAGGAGGAGGAGGAGGAGGAGGAGGAGGAGGAGGAGGAGGAGGAGGAGGAGGAGGCCGATCGGAAGACGATCGCGGTGACCAGCCGTACTCCTTCGCCGACGAAGGAATCTCCGAGAGTCCGCGAGACGGACCAAGCGGACGGAGCAGCGACGGCTGGCGCGAGTAGCATGCTGCACAGCAGCCGATACGATTTTCAGCAACGCGACGAGCAGTCGACCATCCACAAGATGATACATCGATTGTCGAACGACCGGTCGCCGCCGCCGCAGCTGACGAGGACCATGGTGTCGCCGTCGCCGGGTTTCGGGCACAACAACAACCGACCGTTCTCCTACACGAGACCGAACGACTCGTGCGGCTCACCGCCGCCGGCGGTGCAGAGCAACGTCATCTACGCTCAGGTGCAGCCGGACAAGAAGAAGGCCCAGAGGAGTCACTCGGACAGCGACGAAGGCCTCGGCCTCGAGCGTAAGGACTCGTCGCGCGAGAACAGCCCCGCGGAGAAGGAGTACCGCAGGACGGACTACAGCTCGTCGTACAGCAGCGACCTGCGTCGCAACAACGAGATCAACAGCTTCAAGTCGCGCTACGGCGACGAGGAGCGGCAGAGCTTCGGCCCGTTCGGCAAGCGCGACGAGTCCTTCGCGACGGCCTTCGCCGCGACGGACCTCGCCGGCAGGACGAGCAACGAGGCGAGCAAGAGACGCGGCCACGAGTTCGACGAGATCGACAGGCGTTTCCACGACAAGCAGCGTCCAGACGCGAGCAGCAAGTACACCTCGACGGTGTTCGTGGACACCTCCGTCGGCCGCGGCAGGGCCGACGGCATGGATTCCCGCAGGCGGGACAGCGCGGAGCTGCTGCTGCCGTCGTCGAGGCGGAACGACAGCGGGATCTCCAACAAGACGTCCGAGCTGAGCGCTCGGCGAGACCTCTTGGAGTCCAGGATCAAGTCCAGACTGCTGGCTGACGAGATGTTCGCCGCCAAGAGCAACTGCGCGAACGTGCCGGTGAAGAAGTCCGAGCATGAGATCATCGACAAGCCGATCGTGCCGTCGCCGGTGACGCCGAGCCGGATCGCGTCTCCGAAACGCTACACGGACACTTACATCACGGAGACGCGCACCAACAGCAACGGCGAGAAGTACATCTTCGAGAAGGAGATACACGAGGACAACGGCAAGGTCTACGGCTACGAGAAAAAGATCACCAACAAGATCCCGAGCGACGGCTGCTACCTCGACGGCCCGAGGCCGCGGGACGGCTACACGGTGGAGACCAGGACGGACAAGTACGGCGACAAGTACATCGTAGAGACGAGAACGCACGAGGGCTACACCGACAGTTTCAAGCCTCAGTTCGTCAGCGAGCGCGGCAGCAGGACCAGCCCGCAGCAGGACGACAGCAGGTTTCAAAGCAGCGGCGGCAGCAGCCCTTACAAGCTGTCGCATTATCTGGCCGAGGAGAGAGACTCCGCCGCGACGACAACGACGACGACGACGACGACGACGACGGCGGCGGCGAGTCACCACTTCCGCGGCGGTTCGCGGCAGAACGAAGACGACGAGCTGTCGTCGCCGATCATCGCCAAGAAGCTCAACGAACGCAACTTCTCCAAGAGCGACGACTTTCCCGGTCGAGACCGCGATCACGACCGTGTTTGTAACCGCGGTTATGACAGCGGTCGCGATCGCGACCGCGAAAGCGGCCGGCCGGTTGACAAACACGAGGAGATCTACCTACCGAAGACGAGCAAGAGGAACTTCGAGTCGATACGCGGCATCAGCAAGTCGACGCAACGGCTGGACGAGGTCGCACGAGAGAACGCTCGAGTTCGCGCGCTCAGGAGCGAGTACACCACGAGGTCGCACGAGAACCTGAGCAGCGTGCACGCGGACTACGTCAATGCTCGCGACATGAGGCGCCCGTCGCTGCTGGACAGCCCGACGATGACGAACGGCCGCAGGGAGAGGTCGCCGTTCACCAAGCGTCACCTGGACAGCCTGCGCGAGGGCCCGAACGACGACTACGACACCGACATCTCGCAGATGACGAGCAGCCAGCTGGAGTCCAAATACCGCAACAAGGAGACCACGCGCACCACGCAGCAGAGGTGCAGCAACGGTAAGCATCCGATCCACCACGACGACTACGACAGCTCGCCGCCGCGGATACGCACCGACCGCACCGCCGGCGGCTACAACTCCAGCCGATACGACTCCGACACCACCGCCAGGGACTCGATCCGCTGCGAGGCGCGCTACGACGAGGGCTCGCGCACCATGCGCAAGGAGCAGCACCGCGCTAAGCTCGAGGCTAAGGAGGACCCGAAGAAACCGCTCCGACGATCGCGCACGAGGCTCGACTACTTCGACGACTCGGACAGCCCGCGCGGCAAGATGACTTCGGTCAGCCGCTTAGAGACGTTCGACGAGAGCCCGACGAGACCGCCTCGCGCTTATCACCACGAGGGTAAGTCGCGACACGCGCGACAGGAAGTACGAAGCCACGTCGAGCGTCGTCACCGAGAGACTCGCCTGAGCGACCCCGACCGGAAGGATCGACTGGCCGATTCCGGGATCGAGAACGATTACAGACGGGACTCGCAGGAGGTCGACAGGCGCGAGCAGCTCGAGTCCGAGGACGAGGGCTTCGTCAGTCGGCAGTTCATTAAACATGAACGACGGCACACCGATCGCAACATGAACCTAACGCCGTCCGAGCAGCAGAAGTACGACGCGACTAAGCAGCCGCTGGTCACCGCGAAGCCGCCTTCCGGCGCCGACAAGAAATACGAGAAGAAGGCGGCGAAGAAGAGCGGCACCATGAGCAAGGTGAAGCAGCTGTTCAGCAAGAAGGAGAAGAAGGCCAAGGAGGAGAAGGGCAAGAAGAGCACGAGAAGCGGCAGCAGCGGCGCTTTGACCGACGACGAGGTAACGATTAGATACCAGGAGTACCGCGGCGATCAATTGCGGAGCGCGAAGAGCGCGCGAGATTTGGCCAGCGTCATCGGTCGGGTGAGTCTACCTCCATCTCTCTTTTCTAATATATATAATATCTCCTTTTTTAATATAATCAGATAAGAGGGCCTGCGAGGTAATAGCCAAACGAGAGAATGGATCTCGCTAACTCGGATGATTCGACGGATAAATCCGTTAATAACCGTCACTTCGCTTCATTTCGCCTCGATTACGAGCGCGCGCGTGCGAAATGACCGTTTTGCCAATCTCGCGCGGGTAGCGGAGCGTGTCGCGGGTTCGCGAGTTCGTCCCGGTTCAATCGGCGCGGCGATGACGCGCGAACATCTGTTCCAACGCGGCGCGGAGCGGCGCGTTGTGTAATGACGCGCGCGCGGTCGGTCTATCCACCGTGAGAGACCGTCACACCGTCGCGTTTCACGCTCGTCCTCCGACGGGCCCTGCTGCTTTTCTATTGTAACTTCTTTCTCAAGAGCCGCCGGACGCTCTCGGCTCGACAGACGACACGCTCCACGCGGTCCATTAAATCTCTCTCCGCCGATGGCGAACGCGCGCGCGCGCCAGCCATATTCGACGTCTCTCGCAAGTGTATCAATCTTCGTCTTGTATGTAATTGTCGTCGTACGGCACAATTCTGATTTCCCGCGATGCAATTTCGGCCTGCTCCGAAATCGATAAAGTCGCTCGGCCGGTCGCGAGAGCGTGTAAGAAGGGCGGATGCTCGCTGTGCGGAGAATATACTACGACTCTGCCAGTGAGACAGACACCACACAGGACAGTGTCTGCGTAATGCTTAATGACGATGCTTAAGATTCGCGCGCTATACGGGAGCTTCGGGAAGTTCTCGATTATGGCGGCCGCATGCTATTCGGCGATTTGTTTCGTAAACGACATTTCAATTCGCTGCATGACGCACTCTTTGAGAACAATATCACTCGCTCTTGCCCGGCCCGGACGTCGGCCGAGCATTCCTCCGCGACTATTTCGGATTAAATCGTCCCTACGGGAGGGTATCCACTGATTGTAATTTGATTGCCTCGAGTTGTTTGATAACCGACGGACGGACAACCGACGACGGAGACTCGATGGAATGGACTGAAGGAAGCATAAGTCATATTTGACATAGGGGGCTTTGGGAGACTCAGTCATTAGCGTGCAACGTACGGAATTCGAAACAGAGGTCGAAATTGGAGTAGGTATCGACGTATAATTGAGATACTGGGTAGCGAGCATCTGCTTGCGTCCGCGGCGAAATAGCTCATTATATGTCAGTCTCCTTCGCCAATGACGAAGGTTAATATAAGCTGGTCTTGCCCGCGGCTTTAATCACCGGTGGCTACCGAGTGGCCTCTCGCCACTCGCGCAGCGTCGAATACCTGGCTTCGGATTCCCGCGAGCAGAATGCATTCTCGCTGTTTAGCTTCCTCTGTACGCCGGCAAACATTGATGTACAGCGTCGTTGTGTTCCGCCGGTCCGCCTAATTAGATAATGGCCTCGATAATTTACATTCGTGCGTTTTCGTTTAACAATGCGGTCATTTCGTTGCCGCGCTCGCGGCGACCCTCTACCGATCGCTGCAACTGCGGCGATCCTCGGCGTAGCGCGAATACGCATTCTCCGGAAGAAAATCGCTCCTCGAATCGGCGCGGGAAACATTCGTCCCTAGGACGCAATTGTCCATTACACAACCGTTGGTATTGATTTCCGAGCGCCCGAAGGTCCGTATTAAAGAGCATAGCCATCGGTTCGTTTCCGGCCGGAGAACCGAGAGAAAAAGAACGACTGAGCGCGACGCTAAGCTGCATATCGCAACCGGATTTGCGCTCACAGTTCCAAGGTTCGGAACTTGGTGAAATTACGCGAATGTTTCGAAACTTCTGACTTTTTGAACGGAGCAAGAGATAACGAAGCGGACGAGCATCGTCTGCGAAAATCTTAGAGACTACAAATCTAAAAGAATACCTGAAATCTATTCTATTATATGAATCGATCACCAGCGGGAGGAAGCCTCCTACCGCCGTACTTGGCGAATTGTTCACACATATTGGTGTGATTGGGTGGTTAATCAGATTGAGCTAATGGATTAACAACGTCACGAGAATCCGTCCTAATGCTAATTGCTGTAAATGTTCGATCGCGTTAGGCTGCGATAGAAAATCGACGGCGGGGGTCGATGACGGTAATAATAGCTCACGCTCATTTCAAATCAACGGACGATCAACGCGTCGGGCAAGAAGCAATGAAATTAGAGTACGCTTCTTCGTTCGCTACCTCCGTAGAAGCGGCGCCCCGGCCGAGTATCTGATATTCGCGAATCGCTCGGTCGCGCTGATCAACCGCGATTCCATCGTCGTGATTATCAGCACGTCGGGATTAATGCCGAGGTATCGAGGACTGACGCGGTCCCGACACGGCCGTGTCGCCTAATCGAAGAGTAACGATCGTCCGAGGATTCACCGGCGGGAAAGAAGCAAACTCTCACCTCGCGCGGTACCGGCGCGGCGGAGCGAATTATTATCTATCACTTATTTTCCCAAGAGTAGAGGCAGTGGTGGGCCTTTATGTCGATGATCGCTCGCGCACGGCGCGCGTATCATTATTCTTCATACGAGACCACGACGACGTCCGACGGCGCGAAAGCTCCGTTACGTCCAACAACGTTCTCGTCCAGCCCGCTTAACTCGCGAGATCGACGAGACTCCGCGCGGATTCCGACCTAACAATAACATTCGTAACTGTCTATTGTCGTGATGGCAAATGCAGCCGAGCTCGTCGAGCCCGACAGGATGGATGGTGCACGCCGTGCGAGCAACAGGCTTGCAGCTCATCAAGTGGTAGCTTTCATATCGATTTCCAAGCGGACGAGGGCTCCACCACTCCGTGGAACGGAGCGACTTCCCGCCTTGTCCGCGGCAGATTCTGCCGCCGTCTCTCAAAATTCTATCCGCTCAAGCGCGTCTCCTCGAGCGAGCTCTTCGCATACGCATCGCGAATTATCCGCCGTACCGTTTGTATGTTTTTCCGATTAATCAGTCGATTACTCGATCTTTTCAAGTGCAGTCAAGCGTACCTGTAAGCGTATAAACGGCAGGAAAACGATGAGAAAAAGCGGCGATTTCGTCGCCGGCGCGCGTTCCGCAAGTGTGCGGCCGCGGTTGAAAATAATAAATGCCGCTGCTTGAGGCTGCTCGAGGCTGCGCGTGCACGACAGCCGAGTCAAGTCGGTTAATCACCGCGCGGTGTCTTATGCGGTTTCGCAGGCTCGAGTTGCAGGAGTGTCGCGTTGCCGCAATGCTTGCGTGTACGTATATATGCGCGTACACGCACACGACCGATACTCCGAAAAGCGTTCGTACGTGGGCGCGGGTGTAATCCTACCGCTCGGTCGCCCGTTAAAGTCGCGCTCTTTTCAACGACTAGGTGGTAAGGTCGGCTAGTTGTACAGTTAGGCGTGACGCAATTGCAACAGCAGTCACAGTCGGCAGTCAGAGAGCCCAATTACCAGCTATTTCCGGTTTGCAGTATTCGCGCGTCGCGACCGTATCGGTGCCGGAGGCGTCGGCAGATATTCAAGCCGCGACAGCGGAGAAGTCTCGGAATTATTGATCGCGAAAGCGCGACACCGCTCGCGCCGAGCGCGAAAACAATCTTTTCTCTTTTTTTTCTCTCTCTCTCTCTCTCTCTCTCTCTCTCTCTCTCTCTCTCTCGTCGTAGTCGCAGAGACAAGATTGCATAAACAAATTGCATAAACAGACAACGGGAATCCCGCGGAGCGCTTCGTGATTTTCCTACGCGTGCACGCGCGCGGAACAAGCGGTCGTCTTGATACGGTTGATTAACGTCCCGATCAACGTTCGAGCGTATCTCTTGCCCTCCTCGAAGCTGAAGACGCTAATCGAGAATGGCGCTCATTGTTCGCGCGGCAAGAGCAAGACCCGCGCCTAAACTCGTATCGTTTCGCGACTTATCCCTTGCCGTTTGACCTATGAGCCGTTACATGTCTTCGGACGAGGTCGAAGTCCATTGACTTCTCTTAACGGCTCATATTATCGCATCGGCGAAGAGCGCGACGTCGAAATCAATCAATCAAACACTCGTGTTCATTCACCGGCCGTCATCTCGACGTAACCCTGAGGCCGGTCGAGGCTCTGAGACTGAGTTGATTATCCCGGACGAGCTGACGAACGACTTCGGGTCGATATCGATAGTAAAAACAATAAAAGATTGCCCCTCTCTCGCAGGTCGCGCTTTATTTTTCGTCGTTTCGTCTCCGTTAATCCGCCGTGTCGACGAGTTCTCGTATTTAGTTATTCGCGCGCTACGTCGTCTTGGGACGCGACGAAATCCGCTTACTTCATCCGCTGATCGCCCCTCGGTGTTTTTGCCCATTCGCCGCTCATCGAAATCACGTTGCGCTTCGTCTTCGGCTTTTCCTCCTCTTTCTCCTCCTTTTTGTTCACTTTTTGCTGAACGAATACGCGACGAGAACGAACCGAATCGCGGTGTATAATGCATTTGCCCGCCGCGAGACTTGGTTTTTTTCACTGTGGGACCTCGACGCGAAAGAGAGAGAGAGAGAGAGTTCATTATGCAACTGTGCAGTGCGAAATTACAAAAGGTGTCACGTGTGATATTTCAAACGTGAAAGCAGAAATCTTTGGCAAATTCTAACGATATTACGTGGCCGCGACCAGCTCCCTCCGGTCTCGTCTATTTCTCGCGAATAGATAACACCGTAATTATCAGCGTAACAATACACGCTCCACGGCACGCGGTGAGTGTTTGAAACGAAAACAAGGAGAATACCCTGCAAGGAGAGAACTGCCTGCTGCGATTACCTCATCGGGTGAAAATAAAATTTGTGACTTAAGATTCTCTCTGTGACTTGCATCTTCGTCACGCACGTCTTATTTATCATAAGACCGCGTGACGCGTAAATATTCAACGAAATTCAATTTCCGCTATACACACACACACACACACACACACACACACACGCGTCAAGATACATAAGCGCGCTCATGCCCGGGGTAATTTT